CTATTGAAGAATGGTGTGCCTGAGAAGTTCATTAACATCTTAAAGGCCCTGCATACGAACACCTCAGGCAGAATGAGGGCATACAAACACCTTTCTCCCTTGTTTCATTCGAGCAGTGGTGTTAGGCAGGGTAGCCCGATCTCACCATTCCTCTTCAACTTTGCCATCGACGACATCCTGGAAACAGCTCTGGTGGATGTAAGTAATGGCGGTGTGGATATGTTGCCTGGAGAACGACTTCTCGACCTCGAGTATGCGGATGATATTGTCTTACTGTGCGATAATGCCCAAGGCATGCAATCAGCACTTAATCAGTTGGCAATCAGTGTCCGCAGGTACGGCATGTGCTTTGCACCCTCCAAGTGCAAAGTACTCCTACAAGACTGGCAGGATTCTCATCCTGTACTCACCCTGGATGGTGAGCAGATTGAAGTAGTTGAAAAGTTCGTATATATAGGTAGTTATATAAGTGCTGGTGGTGGCGTGAGTGATGAGATTGGTGCACGTATAATGAAAGCCAGAGCGGCTTATGCCAATCTGGGCCATCTTTGGCGCCTTCGTGATGTTAGTCTGGCTGTAAAAAGTCGGATCTTCAACGCGTCGTTGAGAGCAGTTTTGCTCTATGTTTGTGAAACCTGGCCTCTCCGAGTTGAGGATGTTAGACGTCTCTCTGTGTTCGATCATCGCTGTCTCCGAAAGATTGCTGACATCCAGTGGCAACACCATGTTAGTAATTCAGAGGTTCTGCATCGTGTGTTCGGGCGCAGAGACGATAATTCAATTGGTGTCACCATCTTGAAACACCGACTTCGGTGGCTTGGACATGTTTTACGAATGTCGTCCCAGACACTTCCACGTCGTGCATTATTTGCCGACTCTGAGACTGGTTGGAAAAAGCGGAGAGGAGGTCAGTGAATGACATGGTGTCGTGGCATGAAAGAAAGCTGCAAAGGATTAGCTTTTGTTGGTCCTCACGACTTCCTGGTTGGGGTCCGAGAGATGGTGCAACACAGTGGCTAGAGACGTTATCAGATATGGCTCAGAATAGAAGCCAGTGGCGATCCTGCTGCAACCTTCTTTTGCTTTCTACATAAAGAGTGGTTCTAACTTTCTTAACTGAAAGAGTCTTCTGGTTGTACATTTCAGTCCGCCTTATCTTTTCATCTCTTCTTTTCCTAATTTCATTATTTTGTGTGGCGCATATGTATCTGGTGCCCTTTTGTAACAATATATATGTGTTTATATATATATATATATATATATATATATATATATATATATATATATATATATATATATATATATATATATATATATATATATACAGAGAGAGAGCCATGACGGAAAACTAATTGAAAAGAAATTTCTTCACTCGATTCGTTCTTTTTATATATGAAATGTCAAAATGTAAATTTTCGCTATAGTAAAAGCTTACAGTTTGAGTCATATTCGTAATATTGTTGCTGAGTATTTGTAAAATTTCTCGTTCTAACATATATATCGATATGATATTCTGATTTTTTGATGCGAAATCATTAACTACGGACTTCAGACACATCAACAGTGAAGCATTCGTCACCAGTAAAATTGAATTATCATTAAGCTATATCTCTAGTTGATTGAAGTTCGTAATGTGTACAGTTCTATGCCGTCGTATGTGACTCAAGTGGTCGGGTGTTCATTTCGAGATGTGAAAGTTATCAATTTAATCCCTGTCATATTGTTGAGTAATCCAATACTAGAACGAAACAGCTGTTCGGTACTACCTGGTTTATTAATACTGTCCTTACCGAGACCACTCCTTGACAAATACCTTTTACTAGTTTTCTGAGTTCGTTCGCAGAAGTTCATTCATTTTCTGATATTATACATTTGTATGTCTAATTTTTAACAGCTGATGTTTATATATTTTGAACATGGGGATAGTTTTTCGAATTATTATCAAAACCAAAAGTTTTGTATCAGTTGAAAGGTATGTTATTTTAAAGGTAATTTACAGTTCTTCTGAAACAAATACAGTCAAGTAACATCATATTTCAAACAAGTGTTCATTACACATAACACTTTTTCGACCACACGAATAATATATCATAACTTAATTATTATATTTGGATTAAAATTAACCGCCTACCATTCTATCTATTTATTCACTATTCTGTATAAATGTTATTATAAAGTTAGAAATATTGCCTTGAGGTTTACCAAATATGTTTGATCTGCCATTAATTTTAAGCACAAAAATAGACAATATAACTTTTAAGGCTTACAGTATGATATTCCCCTTTCATTAATTTGTCAAGTAGTTAACGAATTATTGATTTTCATAACTAAAATATAATTTTATATAGTTGAGATAGCAAATCAATTGAAGCTAGACAACCATGGAAAACCTGAAAGCATTGAATAGACATTTCGTCCTATTATGGGACTCCTCAGAAGTACACTCGCGCGCAAGGCCGATAGGTCCTGGGTTCGAATCTCGTAAGGCGGGACCGTGAATGTGAACTGCTGAGGAGTCCTACAATAGGGCGAAACAGCATTCCAATGCCTTCAGATTTTCCATGGTTGTCTAGTTTCAATTGACTCATGATCTCAATTGTTAAATTATAATTGGTATAAGAAAATAAAAATATGATCTAAAGTAACAAGTTTATATACTCTAGTCATCTTAATTAACAAAAAAGGATGGAGAAATAATTTCCAAAAGTTCAAATAAAGATATCTTAATAAAGTTAATAATATCATAATGTCTTATCTGATTAATCAGCCATTTTGAAAACATTATATTTTGTTAATTAATTAATATAAATACCAGTATACAAAATGAATTTTTATCTGAAGTTTTTACTGATGATGTCGTTCAAAATAATGTTGAAATATTCACGACTAAACCATTCAACTCAGAAAATAAAACTCATGCAGTTGAGTTACAAATCTTCTCTACCATGAACATACATAATGTAATCTTATTCAACTGTGAAATTCTTTTTACATTAATCTGATTATTTTCAATTGGTGAACACAATATATAAGCCATGACTAGAGCCCAAGTGATATTTTAACTTTATCTTTAAAAAAAATATTCTGCTATCACTGTCTTGATACGAACATTCTTGTAACACAAGGGAAACTTTATTCATAATTACATTTTATGCAAATAAAATTGTAAATAGTCTAAGTCATTGCTAGAAATGTTAACCAATGAAAAAAAACGCTTGATTGTAAACGGAATCTCAATTAGATTATGTTCATCCATATTATATACAAATATGATAAAACATGGTATCTTGACATTCCAATAATTAATGTATGAAAACATTAGTAAATTGAAGCTAGAACACCATGGAAAACCTGGAGGCACTGGAAGGCCGTTTCGTTCTATTGTGGGACTCTTCAGCAGTGCGCATCCGCGACCCCACGGATCGGACCTATCGGTCTCGCGCACGAGTGTACTGCTGAGGAGTCCAATACTAGAACGAAACGATAGTCCAGTGCTTCCAGGTTTTCCATAGTGGTCTAGCTTCAATTGACTCATTCTTTCAACCATGAAAATACTGAAATCTCCACAAAACCCCTTCTGATAAAAATTAATGTATGCTTAGAAGATAATTATGTTATATTAGTCAAATCTACTTGTCGATTAATATAGAACTGTAATTATTGATTATAATGAATAACTTGCCCTTGAATGATCAGTATATACATGCTTTTATATGAATTCTTTTAATATAAACAGTGTTAATATATAGTTCATTTATCATTAGACTAATCATTAATTACAATCAGAATAATATCTATACTTGGTTTCTAAATACTTAAATATATACAATGAAATATGGATGAGATATGATAATGTTCCAATTTGTGAAATATTTGACATTACTGTCATATGATTTGTGAGGAATTTCAATGATTTGCTAGAGGTAATTAGTTTAACTAAAAGAATTACTTTTTTTTTCAAAACTTCACATTATATAAGAACTAATAGAAACTAGGGTATATTTGTCAGTTGTTTTGTACTAAGGCCTCTCGCCTTGCTTTAGTTACCTATCTGAAATTAGTTAATGAGAAAATCTAGTTTTCGAAAAAATTGATGCTAATGAACATATCATTCGACTTTCGTAAAGAACTTCAAACAAGAGATTATATGCTATTCATATAGCTTTGTAGTAACATCTCGGAATGTGAAATTAGTTGCCATGAATTCAAACCATGGTGGGAACATCAATTCATTCATGGTTTCAGGTATGCCTTACTGATGAATGCCAACTAGTAAAACCCCTACGTACAGGGTTTCCTGTCGAGTAATTCTAATCATCTAAATGTCTTCATATTCCAGTTAGAAAACGTGATCATTGAAGATAAATATAATGCAAGAACTGAAAGTTTGATGAGTCACTTAACATTCCTTTGTATTATGCAACATTCGCACATTGTACTGCCTTGTGTTAGTTATTGCAGACGTATCACATAAGTTTAATTTCATGTATTTAAAGAGTGTATGTGTCTTCAGGTTTAATTTTTATTGTCCACTCTTATAGATGATGGGAATGTTCATTCGAAGGTATTTTTGATGCATTTTTTCACTCTTTTGTACAAAGTAGTGGCTATCTTAACTCAATAGCTAAGTAGACAACGCGATGGCGTTTGAATTGAACGGCACTGGGTCCGAGTCCCAAAGTAAATACCAACTATGAAACGCAAGTACATGCAGCCGACGAGTCCCAAATAGGACGAAAAGTACATCCATGGTTTCACTACAAACCAACATCTGTCTCTGTCTACAATTCTTTAGGGTTAATGATGTTAGAACATTTGAAAAAATGACTATCACTGTACCCTTAGATTATAAAACCTACATCATAAATCACGTTCACACACACACACACACAAGCAAACATGTGTATTTACCATGCATACAAATGATGACAATATTCACAGATTCAAATACCTAAAACTGATATAGTCAGAAAAAAATTACTAATCAATAAGAAACTGACCTTTTACTGGCAAAATTATTAGTAACTCGTGTAGTCTGTTGTCTCGTACTGTTATTATTATCATTATCCATAGTTGTAGTCGTGGTAGTAGTGGTTGTCGTTGCTGAACCGGAACTATGTGTTGTAGTCACAGTTCTCGTTGTTATAGTTCTTGCAAATTCACAATCATTTTTTTTCATTGACATATTATTATCATTAATTTCAATAATATTTATCTCATTTCCATTTGCATCTTGTCTACTTGACTCGTTAGAATTTGTTTTATTTTTTTCACTCATACTTGACAAACTAAATGGCTGATTACAATCTTTTAACTTTTTAATATTATTACTAATTTTCGAGGTAACTTCACCGGTGGATCTAAGAAAAGCAAACAATCAATTTTTGTGAATTAATGTAGCAGGATTGATTTGTTGAGAAATGAACAAAAATAATAATGAAAATCTACTTTAACATCGAAACACTTTTGATGAGACGATCTAGTTATATGGATAAAGTAGTTAAGCTCTGTATTTGATTCATTAATAACTATCAGTATGGGTTTGGAAAATATTGTCGATTTATTGATTGAGATCATGAATCAATCAATGTTAGACCACCATTGGAAGTCTGAAAGCACTGAACGGCCGTTTCATCCTAGTATGGGACTCCCCAGCAGTGAACATCCACAATAACTATCTATACAGTTACACTTAAAAACGATTATTTACTGAGTCATAATAAATGTATCTGTCTCATTCCTTTAGTGGTGATCAAATTATATCAACCAACTTTCAGAAAGGCCAACAGTCTAAGTAATTAATCAAAGTATACACTATTCTGAGGTGCTAGGTGTCTGGAAGTGATTAACAAGAAATTGTAGACCTGAGTTTCGGACTACCTTACACTAGTCAGCACGGTTTACTTGTAATCATGGAGGAACTCTTGTACATAAAGTAATAAAAATTCTGATTCTGTTATTAGATAAACGATTTAAATCATTGTTCTAATGGACAATTGTAATGCTCACATTGTTTAGACAATGTTTATGCTCTATACTTGGATTTCAATGAAACTTCCATTCTTCATTTGTCTCACAGTGCTTTATAATTTAGCTAGTTTCTTAGTATCAACAGAGTTGTCAAACTTTGAAATTATAATACAGGATATCAAAATAGCTCACTCATTCTTTTTCAATTTTACATTCGACTTTTTAAATAAATTAATAAAGAGTTGTAATCTTAACATTAGTTATAAACTCCGCTGTTAAATTACAAGCAAACTGGATTCAGAGTTCAAAAAAGGCTCTTACAATAATGTTTATGTCTAAACATTATAGGAAATATTCTTAGTGTGTATAAAGATCCATCACAAAGAAGAGGTTATGGGGAAACCTCCGTCTCTAAACAACTAAAACCAATCCATTAACTCCCTACTATTACCCTGATACAGTAGAGGCTAGAGAGAAACATCCCTTCCTGTTACAATGCTTTCATACTGTTGCGGTTTTAATGGCCTCTGGCGGTGAAATTATACCCACGCCCTTTGCGTGATAGGAGTGCTGTTTAAGAAAGTAACTGTACAAAAAACAAATTTCTGGTAGTCCATTCAAATTGGTAGACATGGAGTGTTCACATAGGCTAATATGAAAACCCTTATACCAAACAAATGGTGCACATGGACCACAAGATTCTGAGGGGACAAATAGTGTATGAACCTATTCTCTTCATTGACTCTCAAGGGGGCGGAAACCCTTAGTTTTGCTCCACCGTCATATGGGCGAGATGTTTTGAACAAAGGCTGAAGTTATAGACTCCTAAGAAAATCAATTACTTCTGTTTTGAATCCAGAGCGGTATTGTTACAATTAGTTGATGGGAGAAAATGTCATTTGATCGCATTATGATAACTAATCAATCTGTGTTTATCAAATTAATAAATAAATAAATTCATTAATTATAGTGGTAGGTTTACCTTGTTAAAAAGCGCATGGAACAACTTACAGAAATCCGTGCATATATCTAATAAATATGCTGATTCTGAACAATTGTGTGTGTCTATAATCATCAGACGACCACACACCCCAAAACATTCGAACATATCTCATTCTATACGGTAGCGAATATACATAAATTGTTTTAATAGCGATTAAACGTTTATTAGGTTCTATCAGCTACCATTCACCATGATTAATCCTAAATCGTCTAAGTAAGCAGTATATTTATTGCAACTTGTAATATGTAACTCTGTTTATATAGTGAACATCCTACTTGACTAGAAATTGAAATACTTTATTCTTTAAGGTGTTTATGCATACCGACTGTTTGTTTTCTTTTTTTCATACGAACTCGTTTACAATACGTTTGTTTGTATTTAAATGGGTTTACTTAATCTGATGAAGATTTATAAACATTGACACTTACCACGAGTTAATAAAATCATTAATAATGAATATGATTTCTTCTCTCCAATGTTTCTTCAATCACTATCTACTGACATAATGAGCATTTATTACAAACAATGTTAGGAAATCTTTAATTACTTACTCATTACTTGTAAAAATATTTGGATTTATCACTTCACTACCAGTTGCATAAAATGTAGCAGTAGCTGCTGTTGCACTGACTGTTTTCTTCATAGTTGTCTTTGTGATAGCTTGTTGAGATGTTACACTATCAGGAGATTGTTTTAATTGTGCTATAGTATCTGGATCTATATCACTAATAGGTTTTACATTTTCTTGATAAATCACTTCAGTTTGTGGTGGAATAATAGCTAATGTAGCTTGAGCAAGCGAATTACCATCTGATTTTTCAGAGTTAAATTTTGTAAAATTAATGATATTTTTCATATCTGGATGATTCTTTGAGTAAGATGATGACTGATTAGAATCGGAATTGGCTGACAAATTTTTCAATCTAACTTTACGTATTCTTGCTGTTGTCAAAACGGTACGCGTTGTTTTTTTCGTTGTACGCTTTAAACTACCGTCTGGATTTGTAGTAGTGGTAACTATAGTATCAACTATTTGAGTTGGTGGTATTGCTGAAGTAATGATTTCTTCCCCTTCTTCAATAGTGTCATCATCACTTTCATCAGTATCTGCACCAGTATCGCTGACTTCTTTTATTTTATTCTCGGATGTGCCAGTTGCAATATTCATCTCGAGTGACTGGTTTGATTCGAAATCTTAATTAATCAACAGAAAAGATAAGCAATAAATGAAGTACAGATATTCACTAATGAAATAATATATCAATAGTACTTACTTATTTTGTATGAAACTCTAGATTTATTGAACACATTCATGTTCTGTAGTGACTATATGAAATCGATATATAAAAATCAGTCATTTTTATAGACTAGATTGAGTTGAAACAATAGCTGTATGTTTATTAAAATTTTTTAGCTGACCTTTCATTACTTTTGTCAGTGTTTTTTTTGATATTTTAATAAAACAGGTTATTCATACATTTATGAGTACCATATAACTGTATATTAACTAATAACTTACAAGGTCATGATCTTAGCTCAGAGAGACCGAGAAGCCCTGGTATGGAGCCCCCAAATGCTCTCACATGGCCACGCGTATATAGCCTCTGCCAGCGAAGTCCTACTCACTGCCTTCTCGTAAAGGGGGTGTTGTTTACGAAAATGAGAGGACTAAAAGCGAATATCCGGCGCTTTAACCGGGTTGATGGATACGGAGAGTCCACCTAGGGGAGTTGGAAAACCAAACCAGTATCCTGAGAGAACAAATGGTGTATGAATCAATCCGTGGTCACCGGATATCATGTGACTGCACCTCCTTACGATGCACCACTGCCTTGTGGATCAGACCTTTAAATAAAAGGCTCCGGTAGTAGCCTCCTAAGAAAACCACCTGTTTCAGTTTGGGCACCTAGGCAGTATCACAGCCCTCACACAAATCAAATGAGATTTGTGTGGCGCATATATATCTGGTGCCCCTTTGTACCTATATTTGTGTTCAAATAAATAAATGAACTTAGAAGGTAAATCTTACTAAATCAATGATACAACGTTATAGTTATCTACCTAGATAATTACCAAAACAGTACTGTGTAATTTATCGTTCAATCATAATCAGATAATCCGTAAACTTTTATTTATGTATCAGAGTACGAAAGTAAATTACATAAGACAATTACTTAAGAAATACTTTACTGTTCTATAAAGTTAATTAAATTTGTTAAGAACGATCCTTAATAAATGTCCTAACTGTTCTAGATACGGAACGTCTTCGTTCTTACCAAATTTCTATTATGAAGGATTAAGTAGACTTCATATCTGTACTAACTGTTTTGCAAAAGTTATTCTACCACTGCTTACATTTATAATTATTAGTGAGTCTATTAATGTTAGTTTTAACTGTTTTAACATAGTGCACATTCTTGACGTTATTCACGGTTGAATCCAAAACTTTCAAGCTACAGGTTAAACATATTAACTTTAGATTAATTGGTTTAGATCTAACGAATCACGTCCCGAAATTCAATCAGTATTTTAATAGCTATTTAAGAATTTATAACCCGTGACTGAATTTGTATTCTTTCAATATTTTGTATGTTTCTTCATTTGTAAAAATAGAGATGAAACAAAAACTGTACTTCAGTTAGAGATGTTACGTAATGACATATCATCATTAATTTAATCATAAATCATGAAAATACCCACTGGATGAATAAAATACCTTTATACTTAAGAGTTTGTGTTCAATCATTTTCTTCATTCCGTGTAACAAGCACAAAGTGTGGCGAATTCTCAGAGACATAAATGAAAATACATAAAAAAGTTAGTTTTAAATATTCAAATTATTTAGACCATAAAACCAAATATGTTACTATTAGTTACTGGACAGATTTATGAAAATAGTTTTTACTTGCTTTAAGTAGAATATATTCTGACAATCCATATGTAAACTCATGTTATTGTTGGTAAAAATTACTTTTAGGATTGTAAGCAAAAATGAATGGTGGTTAACAGTGAAATCTAGGACGCAGGTTTCGTCCTATCTGTGACTCATCAGTTGAATGTAACTGCATCTCAGAGTTGATGTTCACTCCGTAACTCCAACCCAGCGCCATTCGCTTCAAACACCATCTAGTTATCCATTCAGCCACTGAGTCTTGATATCCAGAAAACGCACGTCCTTTATTCCACTGCTAACCACTATACATCTTTGTTTATAAAGCTTGAGAGATAAAACAAAATAGAGGCAGTCCGCACAGAATGCACATATGCCAACAAGAGACAAATCAATTTCATTGCTCATCAACAATGGGACAATACAGGCATATATATATATATATTCAAATTCAGAAACAAATTAAAGTAATTACCTTAATAAGTGCATAAAACGTGTTTTAAATAATTATTTAGTTTGATGTAATATTGTAGTGAACGAGAACACAAGTGGAAACAATTGAATGTATTTGAATATAAAATTACAGAATCCATCATCTAAATCTGAGAACCATACAGTAAATAATTCATTTGCAAATCCTCCACCGATTGTCTCAGACTTCATTGTTCTTTCGTTTCTACACCATACATTCTTTATTCTCATTCATTTCACTTCAATCTACTTAACCTTCTGCAACCAGACATTTCATTTCCTATTAACGATACATACTACTTATATCTACGGACATCGGTAGCACACACCACAATATCTTTTAAAAAATTCGTTTATAAAATAAGAATTCCCGTTAAACCTATATCTTTAAAATTACTCTTTAAAAACTGTAATCAATAGACATAGTCATTGATGACACTGAAGTATGTATGCTCACTATCCTAGATTAAATGAGCCTTCAGAATGTAAACCATCGAATCAACTATGTGAATTTCATTTTTAGGCATGATAGCCATAGGTCTTATTTTATGAAAATATATGTCTGTACGTTACTATATTCTTTAAACTCAGAATAAATCATCTTTCACTTAACCTACTTCATTAGTACTAAAGGAATCTTTTATCATAAAACATACATTTGTAGAATATCAGTTATGTTTTGAGATAGTGGAGATTTGTAGCTCAGATGGGTGATTTCGATGTAGGTTTGTTCTCTGAGCTGGATGGTTTAGTCGTGGAGCTTTCATCATCCTTGTGAACGACATCATCAGCACAAACTTCGGGTAGAAGTGAAGTGTTCGAGGTGCACAGGACCAGCTGTGAATCACATGTGGAGAAACTCAAACACTTCACCTCTACCCGAAGTTTGTGCTGATGATGTCGTTCACAAGGATGATGAAAGCTCCACGACTAAACCATCCAGCTCAGAGAACAAACCTACATCAAAATCAGTTATGTTTTAAAATTAATTTTATATTTTAATAGAATTTGTTTCAATTAACAATGTCTTCGCTGTTGTTGTTGTTGTTGCTAATCCTACTGTACATCATTCATTATCATACTACAATCACTATTGTACAACAGTTGAAAGTCATATGATACTTTTTTTCTTTTTAGCTTATCTAATCTAAACCAGATTTTACTCTTTCTTTCTAATCTTTAATTTAAATTTTCTGTAAAAGAAAAAAAGAAAAAAATATATATATTTGACATTTTACTATTAGATTTAATTAGCTTATAATGACAAGTTGGTAACTAAAATGAATGGAAGAAAAAATTTGTTTTATGTATGACAGAAAGAAAATTTGAAAGATTCATTAGAATGGAGATATATATCAAGATGTAGCTTGAATTAAAAGAAGAAACATTATTTTCACAGTTGAAAGCGTGAGTCAATTGAAGGTAGACCATCAGGGAAAACCTGGAATCACTGGACAGCTGTTTCGTCCTATTATGGGACTCCTCAGCAGTGTTCATCCACGACATCGCCTCTCGAGATTCGAACACAGGACCTACAAGTCTCGCGCCAGAGCACTTAACCGATAGATCATTATATGATATGTTTATTTAACTTGTTAAGAAGGTCTAAGAGAAGTGAATGAGAAAGGAGAATGATTGGTGTGGAAGCTTAAGAACAATGAAGTTAGAGACAATTGGTGGAGGATTTGCAAATGAATTGTTTACTGTATGGTTCACCGATTTTACCGAGTGATTCTGTAATTTTTATATTTAAATACATTCGATTGTTCCCACTTGTTTATATACAAAACAGTAACCTTCCTTTAGCATTAAAAAGAATGTAACTGAGATAATCGGTTCATGTTTTCAATGGAACTCGACAATCTCCACAACCTTATACTAATAAAAATTTGTTTAATGGAAATACAATGAGAATATGATTGCTATTGGTAAAAAAATGTTTCAATCTACGATACAGGTATCTTAAATCAATCCAATCTTTATTTCTGTACTTGTTAATATTAGGCTTTCATAAAAACCATATATATTTAAAAATATGGCAGGTCCTGGGTTCGAATCTCGTGAGGAGGGATCGTGGATGCGCACTGCTGAGGAAATACACAATAGGACGAAACGGCCGTCCAGTGCTTCTAGGTTTTCCATGGTGGTCTAGCTTCAATTGACTCATTATTTCAACTATGAATAAAAAGTATTTTAAAAACGTTCATGAGCCAACTTCTTTTATTTTTAAATGTATTTATGTTTTTGACAATGAGACTGAAAGGACAGCATTGATATTACAACATTATCAAAAAATAATCTCAAAGATGAAACAACCGCATGTCATGAAAAAACAGTAGATCGTTACAAGGATGTTTATGTAATCCGTCAAGCTGGAAATATTGCTGTTTTGATGGTTCTTACATGATCATAGGAAAAGTAATAATTACATATGTAAGTAAAAAGAGAGAATGGAATATTTACAACAAACCTGAAGAAAAGCCAGTAATTGGTAGTATTTACAGTATATTATTATAAAGCGGATTTTCTTTGCTGGTGTTATTGTTATCTCTAGAGCTTTAGATTCTCGCTATGTCGCGTACTACTAGATTACTTGAACGATCGAACCACAACCTCGCAAGAGAGAAGACAGAAAACTGGTAAGCAGGAATGTTATTCCTAACACCGTGTCAAATATAGTAAAAAAATCTTATGTATTTATAGTTTTTGGCTGAAAGTAAATCATCATTTCGGACAGCCGATAGACACATAGAAAGTTCTTCGTATTCATTCAATGGGGAGGGTACAACTCGACATTCTAAAATGTTCTTTTAAAGGTGATTGAATAGAATGT